CTTGACCACTTCATGGTAAAATTAAACAAAATAAAATTTTCCGCAAATATCGCTGTTTTAAATACCACACTTACAGATCATCTGACTATATTCATGTGCATATCAAAACTTAAAAGCAAAACAATTAATCAAAAAATCATTGAGTATGTAAATTTTGAAACTGCATATGAGAGGCTGCTCCAAAAGAACCTGGAGTCTTTGCTTCTTTGCGAAGATCCCGAATTAGCTACCAAGCGCCTTTTGCTATGGCTTGCGGAGTCATTGGAAGAGAGTAAAACAATAAAATATGTTACCAAAAACCAGCAGAATATTAAACCTTGGATCACAGATGGAATTCTTAGGTGTATCAGAAATAGAAATAAAATGCAGCTGAAGCTTAGGTCCGATCCATCAAATGAAACTCTAAAAATTACTTTCAGAAGATATAGAAACTACGTTAATAACCTTATAAAAAAACTAAAACGAAAATATGACAGAGAACTATTAACTACTGCTGCCAAAAGTTCCAAAGAACTCTGGAAAAGAATAAAAACGGTAACCTGTTTCAAAGTTTCTAAATCACATTGCAAAGAACTACTTAATATAGGACCAACACCGTCTGACTCTGTTAATTTGGTAAATTGTTATTTTGCTAATATTGGGCTAATAACAATTAGCTAATGATGTCATGAAAGGTATATCTTATGTCTCACAAAGTAGCACTCCCATTAACACGCTAAAATGACATAACACATCTTTTGTCCTCTTGGAGACTGATCCTGGGGAAGTTAATAGTGTGATCATGAGTCTCAAAACAGATAGTGCCCCTGGTTGGGACAATATATCGATCAAATTCCTTAAGATCTGTAGCCCTATTGTTGCGCCCATAATAAGTCATCTTGCAAATCAAAGCTTTAGACTAGGTGTGTTCCCTGCACCCCTAAAAAAAATCTATTGTTACTCCGGTTCATAAGGGTGGGGATAGATGTAACATCAATAATTATCGACCCATTTCGGTCTTACCCGTGATTTCAAAAGTCATTGAGAAACTCCTTAATACTCGACTGCTTAATTATCTAGAAAAATTCAGCATTATCTCTAGCTCACAGTTTGGTTTTAGGCCTGGATTATCTACGGAGGACGCAGTATTGTCCCTCACGTCCCTTATTACAGATCAAGTCGACCGAGGAAATAAATGCATGGCTGTTTTTCTAGACTTGAAAAAAGGCTTTCGATACCGTCTCCCTTCCCACCCTTTTACATAAACTAGAGTGCGTCGGTGTCCGAGGCGTACAGCTTAAATTGCTAAGTAGTTATCTACGTGAGCGCACCCAAAGAGTGAAAATTGGTACTCACGTGAGTAAAGACATGGACATAACCTTCGGTGTGCCCCAGGGGAGTGTACTTGCCCCAACTCTATTTCTAATCTATATAAATGACCTCACCAATTTACTCTTACGCTGACGATACTGCGATAGTTTTTTCTGGAACTTCGTGGAACAAGGTATACGAGACGGCCCAAAGTGGTCTTTGTAAAATTTCTGACTGGCTAAAAATGAACCTTCTAACTTTGAATATTAATAAAACAAATTATATGTGCTTCTCAATAAATAAAAGAACTCAACCAAAAAACGATTTTACATTAAAACTACATGAATGCGATAAACTAGATTACTCAATTTGCAATTGCAAAACGCTACAGAAGGTTACATCAACTAAATACTTAGGATTAATATTGGATCATCGACTATCCTGGCATCCACATATTGAATATATGGCCGAAAGAGTGCGTAAACTTATATGGATTTTCAAAACCGTGAGACATATTACATCACACAAATTAATAAAACAGATATACATTACTTTGGTACAATCTGTCTTAGGATATTGCATTTCTGTATGGGGTGGGGCTACTAAAAGCAAATTCTTGGAGGTTGAACGTGGTCAACGCTGCCTTCTTAAAGTCATGTATTTCAAACCACGCTGGTACCCCACAACAGCATTATATAAATTTTGCGACGTGCTAACCGTGAGACAGTTATACATTTTAGTGACTGTTCTAAAAATTCGTAAAACTATACAGTTTGACTCCATTGTAGATAATAGAAGAAGAAAAAATATGTAACCAAACCTATTCGCACGAAAACAGTGTTTGCCAAACGCCAATATACTGCAAATTCTGTGTACCTTTACAACAGCATTAACGGTTTGTTGGACATTCATACAACAACGCACCATGATTTCAAAAAATCTGTAACTACTTGGTTAAAAACACAAAATTACGAAGACCTTGAGGCACTTTTACACCATACCTCGTAAAATGTAAATGATTTAATCAACACACACATACCACACACATACATCGTTCACACAGACACACACACACACACACACAGACACACACACACACACACACACACACACACACACACACACACACACACACACACACACACACACACACACACACACACACACACACACACACACACACACACACACACACACACACACACACACACCATTAATCACCCATACCATTTGCGTTTTCATTTAAATACGTTCAAGTAATACATTATTAACCTTATTTAAATCACCGCTAATTTAGAACAATATAAATCGTGTAATTTATAACAATGTATTGAAATGCTTTCCCATTTATGACTGTTATAGATAAGGAAGAGCGGGGACTCCTGACACAGGTTTTCTTTTAAACTTACTAGGAGGACCCATCTACTATATTGTTTATGTATGTAATTTTAAGGAAATAAAGTATTATTATTATTATTATTATTATTATGTGGGGCATCTATATAGTTTTCTCATCTGGTTGGTTCTATAAATATATAATTATAAACGAAAATGAAAAGATAAATATACATAAATATCAATAAAATAAAATAAATACAAAAAATACATAAATAAATAAAAGCCCAACCAGATGGAAGCCCTCGGCAGGGGAGACCAAACGGCCGAGGGTTAGGGGGAAAGGGAAAGAAACCGGCGGACGATGCGGGCGGTATCGAGGAGCACCGCCTTCTGCATTTGAGCCTGGAGCGGTCCGCCACGTAGTCCCAGCCGCCTCAGATGACCCGAGAGGCTGACTGGGATTAGCCCGTTTGCAGAGACGACTACAGGAATAATTTCGGTCGGCAGACCACCCCACATGTCGGTCACCTCGTGAGCCAGGTCCAGATATTTTGTTCGCTTATCTGTTTCGGCTTTCACGAGGTTCTCGTCATACGGAATGGTAATGTCGACCAAAAATATCCTTGACTGTGCCCGGTCCATCAGCACAATATCAGGCTTATTCGCAAGAATAGTCCTGTCTGTGATGATGGCCCGGTCCCAATAGAGCCTGGCGCGGTCATTTTCGAGCACGGCTTCCGGAAAGTACTTGTAATACGGCAACTTCCGGTCCACGAGACCGTATTTCAGAGCGAGCTCCTGGTGTAGAATTCTGGCTACTAGGTTGTGCCTGTGCAAGTACTCAGAGTTAGAAAGCGCCGAACAACCGGAGATGACATGCCTAAGTGACTCACCGGGATGGCGACAAGCTCGACAGATGTCGACGGTGCCATCCTTTAGGATGTATCTCCGATAGTTGTTGGTCTTAATAACCTGATCCTGTATTGCACAGACAAAACCCTCGGTTTCCCCCGAAGAGGTCACCGAAGCGTAGCCAGTGGAGAGAGGCTACTGTGTCTACGAAGGGCCCATGTAGAGACTTGTAGAACCTCCCGTGGAGCTCCTTCTCCTTCCATACGGTCTCCCGGTCGGAAATGCTAAGCACTGCTGGGTCCTGCCATTGCTCGTTGGCTAAGGATAGAGGGGTAAGCCCTTTATCACTAGAAATGACGTCATTATAGAATGGATCATCCGATCTCGCCAGGAAGTAATCACGGAGGCTGCACACTTCGCGATTATGCATGGTGAGCGCGCTCAGAAAGCCACGCCCACCATGCTTTCGCGGCAAGTACAGCCTCATTACCGACGATCTCGGATGATGCATCCTGTAGGGGACGTCATGGTAGTGCGGACTTTTCTATCCAGGGCGTTAAGTTCAGTCTGAGTCCACCTGAGTATGCCAAAGGTATACATGAGGACAGGTATGACCCAGCCGTTATATGCTTGTGTCTTATTCACACCGGACAAAAGGCTGTTAAGCACTTTGGTCAAGCGTGCATAAAACACGTCGCAAACTGACTGTTTCATACCAGCCTCATCGATACCGATGTTCTGTGACATACCCAGGTATCGGTATGTTTCAGCCTCGGAAAGGGTCCTTAAGTTGACGGGCATAGATAAGTCTATGCCCTCAGAGTTAGCAACCCCTCCCCTCTCAACATGGAGTACCGCACACTTATCCGTCCCAAGCTCCATTCCAATGGAATTGCTAAATTCACAAATGATGTTTAGCAGTTCCATAAGATGGGAGCGACTGGAGGCGAATAACTTGAGGTCATCCATATAGAAAAGGTGGGTCACTTTTGTCCCTCCTTTCCGAAGCTGAAATCCCCTCCCGGAGCCCTCCAGTAAGGTACTGAGAGGGTTCAGAGAGAGGCAGAACCAGATTGGACTCAGACAATCGCCCTGGAAGATACCCCTTCTTATCCTTATGTGGTTCTCCGCAGCCATCATCCGCTCGCCCAGATGACAAAGGATCGTACTCCACTGCCCCATACACTGCTCGAGGAAGTCTCTAACTGTACAGTCTATCTTGTACAGCTCGAGGACTCTCTTTAGCCATGTATGGGGCACCGAGTCGAATGCCTTTCTGTAGTCTATCCAGGCGGCGGAGAAGTTCCGACGGTTGCGTTTCACCACTTTGCCAATGACCGCGTCAATGAGGAGTGGTTCCTTGGTTCCACGACCGCCGCCCCGACATCCATTTTGAGCGCGCGACATCACCTGATTTGAGTCCAGGTGACGAGTGATTCTCGCGCTCAAAATGGATGTTAGTGTCTTATATATGGTCGGTAGACACGTGATGGGGCGGTATTTGCTCGGGTCTGTGGTACCCTGGTCTTTAGGAACCAAATGGGTGATCCCAGTAGTGAAGAGGCTCGGGAGCGACTTCTGGTTGAGAGCCTCTTGAAACTGTCGGGCGAGCACAGCGTGACACACCACGAACCCCTTCAGCCAGTAGTGATGCAGCCCGTCGAGTCCCGGACTTTTCCAGTTCGGGGCCCTACGGACCGCCTCAGCTACGTCATCCGGCGTTATGATGACGGGGTTCATGGACCTAATCCCCGCACACTGACTCGCCACAACTTCCGTCCAAGGGCCCTCGCTGTGGTTTACGGGCTCTGACCACAGGCTGCGCCAGAATGCGACCGTGTCAGCCTGATTCGGTACTGGGCCCGTTCCACTTACCTTTGGTCGCTCCAATGATTTGTAGAGCCTCTTCTGATCACTCTGGAAGAGACGATTCTGGTTGAACCGTGTCGACCTCTCGGTATATCGGCGAATTCGCTTTCCCCAAGCAGCGATTCTCTGCTTCAGGTCGTCTATGCGCTCCGTTAGTTTTTGCGTTATATCCGGCTGGGACAAACTGATATTTGTCCCAGCAAACGCCATCCTGACGGTGCGCACAATCCTTGGCCTGTTATTGCCTGACCTGAAGCATATCAGTCTGCCGATGAGGGCCCTAGCCTTTGCGATACGTTCCTCAATTCTTGTTCTCCAGGCTGGGATGGCGCTACTTTGTCCAGTAGCGCGTCCAGCCGTGGGAAGTTTGGCGCCAATAATACGGCAGACTGCCAGTGCGGCGCCAAAGAGAATTGAGTCCGTCTCGCAAAGGTCCCGGCTGGCTTCCAAATAGGTTACCAGCATTGGGTTCAGAGCCCTCACGACAGCCCGATTTCGCTTGCTTAGGGGTATGCGGGGAAGTCGCGGTCGATTTTCGAGAGGCGTGCTGCGCGTTTCCAAAATCGCCTCTTCCAATGTACTCCTCATTTGCTCTATTTCTAGTTCCTGGGTGACATGTTCCATCATCATTTGAATCAGCAACAACTGGGGTATTCTCGGCGGCATCTACGTGTACGGGTTGGTCTGCAACTTGTGGCGCCGCACCCTCAGTCGTAGCGTTTTCATTCGATGAGGGAACGGCCTCACGTCGTAGCCGTTCGAGTTCGGCGCCATCGAATATATTCGAGCGTAAGATGTACCGAACTCGGTCTGCCAGGTTTTGCTCGGTGACAGTAATAGATGGCTCCAGCTCAGTAAAAAGGCGATGCATCCGAGCCCGATACGCGAAACCTCCAATTTCTCCCCCTTTCGCCCTATAGTACGCCCGCAATGCGTTTGAGTTCATATTGATGGTCCATCGCATGCGGCGTACTCCACCAGTGGCGGGTGCCGATTGCTGGGCCTGCGAAGACCCTGCCGACACCAAGCCGTCTGGTGGGGATGATGGATGCGAGGGGCTGCTGGGTGGTCGTGCAGCACCTCGCGCTCGGCTGGCGGTTCGCATGCTGTCGCGTCCAGCGCCAGCTCCAGACGCGCCCTGACGACCTCCAGGCAGCGGCCCTTTGCGTCAATCTTCTATGTTCCATCATCCATACAGGGCGCCAATTAACGGGAGACGCCCAGGCCCGGCGCCGTTTCATTGTATCATTGTAGGCCGTAAGCACAAACGGGCCCTTGCACCATCAATTCTTGCCGAGGCACGGCGCTCACACCTCTTGGCAAGGCGCTGACTGACTGCGCTGACGTAGCGGTTTTGTCATATAACCGTTACATTAGCGGGCGATGGGGTCGTCACTTCCCTACGCCGTAATTATTATTATTATTATGGGGTATCTATATAGTTTTCTCATCTGGTTGGGTTCTATAAATATATAATTATAAATGAAAATGAAAAGACAAATATACATAAATATCAATAAAATAAAATAAATATGAAAGTACATAAATAAATAAAAGCCCAACCAGATGGAGGCCCTCGGCAGGGGAGACCAAACGGCCGAGGGTTAGGGGGAAAGGGAAAGAAACCGGCGGACGATGCGGGCGGTATCGAGGAGCACCGCCTTCTGCATTTGAGCCTGGAGCGGTCCGCCACGTAGTCCCAGCCGCCTCAGATGACCCGAGAGGCTGACTGGGATTAGCCCGTTTGCAGAGACGACTACAGGAATAATTTCGGTCGGCAGACCACCCCACATGTCGGTCACCTCGTGAGCCAGGTCCAGATATTTTGTTTGCTTGTCTGTTTCGGCTTTCACGAGGTTCTCGTCATACGGAATGGTAATGTCGACCAAAAATATCCTTGACTGTGCCCGGTCCATCAGCACAATATCAGGCTTACTCGCAAGAATAGTCCTGTCTGTGATGATGGCCCGGTCCCAATAGAGCCTGGCGCGATCATTTTCGAGCACGGCTTCCGGCAAGTACTTGTAATACGGCAATTTCCGATCCACGAGACCGTATTTCAGAGCGAGCTCCTGGTGTAGAATTCTGGCTACTAGGTTGTGCCTGTGCAAGTACTCAGAGTTAGAAAGCGCCGAACAACCGGAGATAACATGCCTAAGTGACTCACCGGGATGGCGACAAGCTCGACAGATGTCGACGGTGCCATCCTTTAGGATGTATCTCCGATAGTTGTTGGTCTTAATAACCTGATCCTGTATTGCACAGACAAAACCCTCGGTTTCCCCGAAGAGATCACCAAAGCGTAGCCAGTGGAGGGAGGCTACTGTGTCTACGAAAGGCTCATGTAGAGCCTTGTAGAACCTCCCGTGGAGCTCCTTCTCCTTCCATACGGTCTCCCGGTCGGAAATGCTCTGCACTGCCGGGTCTTGCCATTGCTCGTTGGCTAAGGATAGAGGGGTAAGTCCTTTATCACAAGAAATGACGTCCTTATAGAATGGATCATCCGATCTCGCCAGGAAGTAATCACGGAGGCTGCACACTTCGCGATTATGCATGGTGAGCGCGCTCAAGAAGCCACGACCACCATGCTTCCGCGGCAAGTACAGCCTCATTACCGACGATCTCGGATGATGCATCCTATGGGACGGCATGGTAGTGCGGACTTTTCTATCCAGGGCGTTAAGTTCAGTCTGAGTCCACCTGAGTATGCCAAAGGTATACATGAGGACAGGCATGACCCAGCCGTTATATGCGTGTGCCTTATTCACACCGGACAAAAGGCTGTTAAGCACTTTGGTCAAGCGTGCATAAAACACGTCGCAAACTGACTGTTTCATACCAGTCTCATCGATACCGATGTTTGGTGACATACCCAGGTATCGGTATGTTTCAGCCTCGGAAAGGGTCCTTAAGTTGACGGGCATAGATAAGTCTACGCCCTCAGAGTTAGCAACCCTTCCCCTTTCAACATGGAGGACCGCACACTTATCCGTCCCCAGCTCCATTCCAATGGAATTGCTAAATTCACAAGTGATGTTTAGCAATTCCATAAGATGGGAGCGACTGGAGGCGAATAACTTGAGGTCATCCATATAGAAAAGGTGGGTCACTTTTGTCCCTCCTTTCCGTAGCTGAAATCCCCTCCCGGAGCCCTCCAGTAAGGTACTGAGAGGGTTCAGAGAGAGGCAGAACCAGATTGGACTCAGACAATCGCCCTGGAAGATACCCCTTCTTATCCTTATGTGGTTCTCCGCAGCCATCATCCGCTCGCCTAGATGACAAAGGATCGTACTCCACTGCCCCATACACTGCTCGAGGAAGTCTCTAACTGTGCAGTCTATCTTGTACAGCTCGAGGACTCTCTTTAGCCATGTATGGGGCACCGAAGTCGAATGCCTTTCTGTAGTCTATCCAGGCGGCGGAGAAGTTCCGACGGTTGCGTTTCACCACTTTGCCAATGACCGCGTCAATGAGGAGTGGTTCCTTGGTTCCACGACCACCGCCCCGACATCCATTTTGAGCGCGCGACATCACCTGATTTGAGTCCAGGTGACAAGTGATTCTCGCGCTCAAAATGGATGTTAGTGTCTTGTATATGGTCGGTAGACACGTGATGGGGCGGTATTTGCTCGGGTCTGTGGTACCCTGGTCTTTAGGAACTAAATGAGTGATCCCAGTAGTGAAGAGGCTTGGGAGCGACTTCTGGTTGAGAGCCTCTTGAAACTGTCGGGCGAGCACAGAGTGACACACCATGAACCCCTTCAGCCAGTAGTGATGCAGCCCGTCAAGCCCCGGACTTTTCCAGTTCGGGGCCCTACGAACCGCCTCAGCTACGTCATCCGGCGTTATGATGACGGGGTCCATGGGCGTAATACCCGCACACTGACTCGCCACAACTTCCGTCCAAGGGCCCTCGCTGTGGTTTACGGGCTCTGACCACAGGCCGCGCCAGAATGCTACAGTGTCGGCCCGATTCGGTGCTGGACCCGTTCCACTTACCATTGGTCGCTCCAATGATTCATAGAGCCTCTTCTGATCACTCTGGAAGAGACGATTCTGGTTGAACCGTGTCGACCTCTCGGTATATCGCCGAATCCGCTTTCCCCAAGCAGCGATTCTCTGCTTCAGATCATCTATGCGCTCCGTCAGTTTTTGCGTTATATCCGGCTGGGACAAACTGACATTTGTCCCAGCAAACGCCATCCTGACGGTGCGCACAATTCTTGGCCTGTTGTTGCCTGATCTGAAGCATATCAGTCTGCCGATGAGAGCTCTAGCCTTTGCGATACGTTCCTCAATTCTTCTTCTCCATGCTGGGATAGCGCTACTATGGCCAGTAGCGCGTCCAGCCGTGGAAACCTTGGCGCCTATGATACGGCAGACTGCCAGCGCGGCGCCAAAAAGAATTGAGTCCGTCTCGCAAAGGTCCCGGCTGGCTTCCAAATAGGTAACCAGCATTGGGTTCAGAGCCCTCACGACAGCCCGATTCCGCTTGCTTAGGGCTATGCGGGGAAGTCGCGGTCGATTTTCGAGAGGCGTACTGCGCGTTTCCACAATCGCCTCTTACAATGTACTCCTCATATGCTCTAATTCCAGTTCCTGGGCGACTGTTCCATCATCGTTTGAATCAACCACAACTGGGGTATTCACGGCGGCATCCACGTTTGCGGGTTGCTCTACCATTTGTGGCGCCGCATCCTCAGCCGTAGCATTCTCATCCGACGAGGGAACAGCCTCACGTCGTAGCCGTTCGAGTTCGGCGACATCAAATATATTTGAGCGCAAGATATACCGAACTCGGTCTGCCAGGTTTTGCTCTGTGACGATTAAAGATGGCTCCAGCTCAGCAAAAAGACGATGCATCCTAGCCCGATACGCCAAACATCCAGTTTCTTCCCCTTTTGCCCTAAAGTACGCCCGCAGTGCGTTTGCATTCATTTCTTGTGACCAACGCATGCGACGTGCTCCACCAGCGGCGGGTGCCGCTTGCTGAGTCCGAGAAGACCCAGCCGACACCAAGCCTTCTGGTGGGGATGATGGATGCGGAGGGCTGGTAGATGACCGTGCAGCTCCTCGCGCTCGGCTGGCGGCCCGCATGCTGCCGCGTCCAGCGCCAGCTCCAGACGCGCCCCGGCGACCCCCAGGCAGCGGCCCTTTGCGCACTATCTTTTTATCCATCATTATTTATTATTATTAGTGCCTCCATTATTATTATTTTGGGGTATCTATATAGTTTTCTCATCTGGTTGGGATGTATATATATATTATTATTATTATTATTATTATTATGTGTTTTCACTTCTCAGCTCTAGGCTGGATTTCAACTACATTTACGGGCCGAAGCCAAAGCAAATGCAGCGTGTGGTGTGTAGTGTAGTTCATGTGATTTGATGAGGTCCTATTTCGTTTTCTTCTATCTGCATGAATTTCCTAACTATTCTGCATGTATTTAATATAGCTGCTTTTTGAAGTGTAATATATAGAGTTTCTTTTAGTTGTAATAATTTTAAGCTACGGAGGAGATGATTTGGGATGACACCTGTTGTGGAGAGGACTATAGGGACCACATATACTTTTTCTTGTTGCCAGATTCTAGTCACTTCATCTTTAAGTTCTGCGTACTTACAAATTTTTTCAGTTATCGTCTTCTGCAAGTTGTGTGTGTTGGGGACTGCAATGTCTATCAGGTAAGTAATATTATTTATTTTATCTCGTAGAATTATATCTGGTCGGTTATAGTGGATTGTCCTATCGGTGAGAATGCCGCGGTCGTAAAAAAGTTTATGTGTGGTGTTTTCTAGAGTATGTTTTGGTGTATAATTGTAGTACGGAGTGTTGGCATCTGGAATGAGTGCGTGTTTGAGTGCTAGTTTTTGATGAATGACATTGGCCACCTGATTGTGTCTGTGAGTGTAGTCAGTCTGTGTGAGAGTTGTGCATGCGCCTGTGATGTGTTGAATGGTTTCTGGATGTGTGTGGCATTTGCGACATTTGTCATTATTTACTGCAGGATCTTTGATTATATATTTTCTGTAATTTTTTGTGTTTATGATCTGGTCTTGAATAGCTATTATAAATCCTTCTGTTTCTGGAAATAAGTTGCCTATTTTCAGCCACTTATTTGAAGCTAACTTATTTATGTGGGATTGCTCTAAGTCATGAGGGTGCCGACCGTGGAGAACTTTCTTCTTCCATTCATCAATTTTGTGTGTCTGTGGGTTATCACTGGTAGTGTTTTGGGATTCAATCTGATTGCTTAAGTTAAGTGGAGTGTAGTTAATATCATTCGTTACGATGGCTTTATGAATATTGCTAGTATGGGATTTTGTATAGAAGAATGATTTTAATCGACTAACTTGTTTCCGCCATAGGTGCTGGATATCCATTAGGCCTCTCCCTCCATGTTCTCGTTTTATTGTTAGTCTCTCTATGGCGGATTTAGGGTGTAGGTTATTGTGTTTCGTGAGTGTTGTACGTGTAGTTCGCTCTAATTGTTCTGCATCAGTTTTGGACCATTTTATAACTCCGAATGAGTACGTTAATATGGGGATGGCATAGGTGTTAATGGCTTTGATGAGATGTTTACTTGAAAGTTGAGTTTTACAAACGGCGTTAAGTCTTCTCTTGTATTCCGTAGTGAGAGAATTTTTAATTCGTACGTGGTCAAGACTTTTAAGTTGGACATACCCTAAATATTTGTATAAGTCAGTCGATTCCATTGCTGTAATAGCCTCCGTTTCATTTACCACATAGTCGCCGGGCCTTACTTTGCCTCTTACAATGTGAAGTGTTTTACATTTATCTAAACCAAAATGCATATTAATATCGCTACTGAATTCTGTTGTTATATCTATTAATTTCTTCATATCCTTGTCTGTTTTTGCATATAATTTGATGTCGTCCATGTATATAAGATGCGATATTGTTGTTTCGTCTGTATTAAGTTTGAGGCAATATCCGGCCCCGCAGCTCTGCAGCAAATGAGACAGAGGGTTTAGGGCGAGACAGAACCACAGTGGGCTCAGGGAGTCACCTTGGTAGATGCCTTTTGTGATTGAGATTTGTCGCGTGGTGACAGTATTTTGGTTACAATTTATTTGTAGTGTTGTTTTCCACTGTAACATTATTCGGCGTAAGAAATCGATTATTTTCGGATTTATTCTATAAATTTCTAATATTTTTAATAACCATGAATGAGGAACACTGTCAAACGCTTTTTTTATAATCAATATAGGTGCAATGTAAATTTCTATTTTTAGAGGTGGCGTGTTTATGAATAGTGGAATCAATTATCAGCTGTTCTTTACATCCCATGTGGCCCTGTCTACATCCCTTCTGTTCTTCTGCTATTATATTGTGGTGTTCAATGTGCGACTGAATTTTCTTTGTGATTGCAGATGTCAATATTTTGTAAATTGTGGGTAGGCATGTAATTGGTCGGTATTGGGAAGGCTGAGGTGAATTTTTTGTTTTAGGTAGCATATAAGTAATTCCTGTTGCAATAAATTCGGGAGTGTTCTGTTGTCCTGTTATTATATCTGTTAAATTTCTTGCTAAAGGTTTGTGTAGAGACGTTAATTTTTTTGTACCAAAAATTATGAATTTTTTCTATACCAGGTGATTTCCAATTATGTAACCTAGCTGTAATGAGTGTTATGTCTAACTCTGTTACCTCTTCGAATTCCATTTCGTCAATATCTCTCCATTTTGCTTCCTCTTCAATTATCCAAGACGCTTTGTCGTTATGTTGTTTTTGCTCTTCCCAAATACTCGCCCAATATGCTTCTAGTTGTTCTTTTGTAGGTAGGTCAGGTGTATGTGTGTTACGTTCATCGATTATGTCTGTTTGTGGTTTGTGTAAGTTTCTATAAAACAATTTTTCGTTTGTGGCAAATCTGACGTTATCTTTTTTGCGCTGTTGTGCTTTTTTATACCTTTTGAGCCTATGAACTTTAAGTGCTAATTTTTGTTTTAACGTGTCTAAAAATTCTTCAGGTCTTGTGTTACTTTTTTCGTGTCTGGTATGCGTAGCATTATTCCTAAATATGACCTCTACTTTTTTGACTAGTTTATTAGATCTACAACCGTTAATATACTGAGTGAGTCTACCTATGTTTGCTCTTAATTTTTCAATGTCTTTTTCTAGTCTCTGTTGCCATGCTGGTTCTGTATTTTGTCTTGTTCTTGTAGTTCTTGCATTGTCTGTGATTTTAAAGTTCAATTCTTCGGATATTACTATCGCTGTGCAGTATATAAGTAAATGTATGTCTATAAGTTGTGTGTCATCAGATATATATTGTGTGAGTATAGTTTCATTAAATAAATTAACCAGTCGAAACAGGTTAGGTGTGTACTTAAGTTTAGGTAATCTTGGTCGCGCTGCGGGATCCATCCCAGAGTATAACGTTATTGTTGTTCTAAATTTCTCATTGATTTCTTGGATATATGTGTCTGTTGTTAAGTGTTGATCTGGGACAACTATGGTCTCAATATCATTTTCTAGCGTTAGGATTACGGTTTCGGTTTGTGTGGATGTGTGTGATATTTGTGAATGGTCGCATGGCTGAGATTGTGTATAAATGAGTTGTGATTGACTGAGCAATTGTGGTTGTACTTGGCGATCATTTTCACTTGTGTTTTGTGTGATATTAGTTTCTACATAGCTGTTAGTCGCTTCTTCTTGAATTAATTGTGTTCGTACTTCTTCTTTTAATTGATCTATAACTTCTTGGGATAGAAGTTTATTCCTAACTATGGTTCTTCTTTGGTCTGAGATTCTTTGTTCTGAAACAGTAATTTCTGGATATTGTCGAGTGAAATGTGCGTGTAATTGTTGTCTGTACGTGGTCATATCGGTCTCTAATTTAGTAATGTATAGATAAGTTCTCATGATAAATAGATTTACTTCTTTACTCCATTTCATTCGAACTCTTGCTTTTCCAGCCTTGGTGGACGCGGGTAAGAAGGTAGATACCTCCCGCGCAGCACTCAAGGTCGGAGTAGGTGGAACTGTATTTAAACTAGTAATAGGGGGTGATGGAGGTGTTGGTGACGATGGTATGGATGGTGATGTTGGCCTCGAGGGTGTGTATGATACTGTGCTTGGACTATATGGTTCTACAGGGGTGTCTGTCCTGTCCGTCAGTCTGTCACCATCGTCAATGAGTTCGGCTGTAGTATCTTTGTGGGTGGGAGCCCGCCTGTTCAACTCCTCACCGCTGACGGATCGCATGCTGTGACACCCAGCGTCAGCTCCTGGTGCACCCCGGCGATCGCCCCCGGGTAGCGGCCCTATACGTTTACTTTTAGAACGAGTCTCCATTTTATTTATGGGTTTCCAGAGCCACGTTAGCCACGCCAGTAATTTCTCATTCGTGTGTCCGCCCCCCACGTGACTAGATGGTCAATCAGGACGTGTGGTTGTTTAGGGGGCTTATTATTATTGGGGTATCTGTATA